TTTTGGAGTTATCGCAAAGGTATCCCCTGACTTCAATCCATTGAGCTTTAGTGAGAGTAATTTTATGAGAAAAAATAGAAGAAGTATGAACCACGCAATTAATGCGGACCGCGATAGGGAAGTGGTCACTCTCATGGAGGTTAGAGAGAACCTGCGCTTCGCAGAACGAGGAGATGCGGGGAGACGCAATGGCGAGGTCAATAGTAGAGGAGCGTGGGGGAGAGAAAGAAATATAGGTGGGGGAAGTGGGGGGATTGAGGATCACCAAGTGGTGATCGTCAATATACTTGGAGAGAATTCGACCGGCGGCGTTGGTGTGTGAGCCATCCCACATGGGATGGTGAGCATTAAAGTCTCCAAGGAGGATGGTAGGATCATGGTCGTGGGCAAAGGCGGTGAGTAAGGAGAGAGAGTTAGCAGAAGCGGGAACGTTGGGATGTCGGTAAGTACTTATAAGATGCAAGTGAGAGTTGTCGAACGACAGCTTAATACCCAAGGCTTCTATGGAATTGTCTGTGATTGAAGAGAGATCGAGTGGGGAATAGATGATGGGATTACGAATGAGAGCGAACATACCTCTGACGCCACCAGCGTCCGCACTAATGCGAAGGCAGTCGAAGCCCCTTACTCGGAAGTCATGGGAAGGACCTGCACAGGTTTCAGCGAGAAAAAGAATATCAAATGATTCAGATAGCTTTTCTATTTCGGCCTTCTTACCAAGTGCACCCCGACAATTCCAATAGAGAATTCTAAGTGCTTCTAAATGGTTCATTGTGAGTTAGAAAGTGATTGGAGAGCGTTGAGAACGTTGGAGAGTCCCGTACTAAGATTTGGATTGAGAGGTGTATCAGGGTTGTTATTAAGCAGCTGAAGAAGCAAAGAGAGAATTAACTGGATTATGTATGAGAAACCGTATTGTTGTGGATTAGAAGAGAGGAGGGGCGGCGGGGGGGAAAGATGATGAGGGAGAGGAACAGAGGCGGAGGAAGAGGGAATGGAGGGGAAAGAGGGAGGATTGGAGGAGGAGGAGGGGGAGGAAGTGGAGGGAGGAGAAGGGTGGGTGGGAGGGGTGAAAGGGGGTAGAAGGGGGGAGGGGGAGGGAGAGTTAGTATAGTTGGGCAGTCGACCATTAGGCGAGTAAAGCAAGGCGTTATGGGATTCCCGTAACCTTGAATAAGCGTCCGGAGGGCGATGACTAAGCGTACTGTTGTTGCTGTTGCCAGAGCGAGGATGGGCGCGTGGGAGAGGACCCGTTGGGTGCCTCAATGTGGTGGAGTCTTGAGGTGAGAGGGGATATATTTGTTTTGGTTTGTTGGCGGGAGTGGTGCTGGCCATATCGGCGTAAGAGCGGCCAGGATAATACTGTGCATCGTGGGGGGGTGAAAAATTACTAAAAACACTCGGTGCCAGAAGGTCGTCGTATCTAGGGATTGGACGAGGGGGGTGGGGAGAGAGAGGAGAATTTGAGAGAGGGGGGAAATCACTGTGATGGAAAAGATTGGGAGGGGGTGAAGAGCCAATTGGCGAAGAAGTACCAAGTTTTTGACGTGCATCCGAGTAAGATAGATTTTCGATAGTGGCGTAAGCATAGATCTGTTTGTGACGCACGTACGTAGGACATCCCGGGGAAGAGGGAAGGTGTTGCCCTCCGCAGTTGCAGCAGACTGGAGGTAGCTGATGACGAGGGCAATCCTCTGCTGTAGGGTGTTTCTGGGAACCGCAGCGCGCGCAGCGGGGCTTACTTTTGCAATCAGAGCTGACGTGTCCGTATCTTAGGCATGAGAAACACATAAGTACGCGCGGAAAATACGGCATGACCGGAAAGCTGACATGCAGATATGTGACCGATCGTGGCAAGCATTGCCCTCGGAACTTAACCAGTATCGTGCGCGACGGCGCAAAGGTAGATTCACCGTCCTTGAAAATCCTAACATTTAACCGCTTAGCCGAAACGATTTTGTAAGGGGAGGTAAAATGGTTGAGAATATCGTTTTCTGAAATGTCAAACGAAACGTTTTTGATCACGCCGGTACGCAGAATACGAAAAGCGGGGATGGATGCAGAGAGACCGCTCTCTTTTAATAACGGGTGCGAGAGCACTTTGTTTGCAGTTGCACGGTCGTTGAAATGAACGGCGACCTTGTTACGGCCCGA